TACAACCTATGTTTATTCGGAATCAACCTAGGTGGATTCTAAATCCACAATAATTCTGTTCCAACGTACAACATATACAAGAAATTACTGTATCCTTTTTATCAGTTCTATTATCTAAAGTGATAGAACTGGTCTATGATTTTATTAAGTACATGTATATACGTACGGCCTCACAAAGTCATAATGTGCTATCACACCTTTTTGTATAATAATAGCTACCTATATAACAATTACTAAGCAGAGGGAGCATAGCAGTCTATTTTATGATAATCTAATAAGTTAGTTGAAATTTGCTTGTTATTATTAAATTATTGATATATATATTTGTTAAATTATTGATAAATAAATTTATGTTTAAATTTTTTTAAAACTTAGATCGTCAAATACAACACCACTTTTTATTCCTCTTCCGTTTTCATTATATCATAAAATGTCTTTAGCTCATCGTCATTTATGGCGTATGAATGCTCTTCTGCAGGAAATGCTCTCGATTTAACTTCTTCACGATAAGTTTCTATGGCTTTAACTATTGTTTGATCCAACTTCACATATTGCTTGCAAAATCTTTTTAATAAAAAAAAAAAAAAGGGTTTATTTTTTAAAGATTGTCTTTAAGAATAAATAACATAATAACCATTTATATTACTTTGGCACAAATCTATCATAGATTCCCAGCATATCCTGTTGTACCAACACTTGTCCACTAGTTCCAGACCCAGCACCAATCCCAATAGTTGGAATTTGTAATTTTTTTGTAACATATGTGGCAACTGGAGCAGGAATCGCTTCCAACACTATCGCAAAACATCCAGATCGTTGTAATGCCTTTGCATCATCTAATAGTTTTAGTGCCTATTCATTTCATTTAATAAAATATATAACATTAGCATGTTAGATATATTTCGACATGAAGTATGAAAAAGAAATAAGATCAAGACAAACTTGTTTCGCAGTCTTTCCTTGAACACGAAAACCACCTAACGAAGATTGACGTTGCGGAGTTAAACCTATATGACCTAAAACAGGGATTCCTATACTTGTAATTTGTTGAATAGTTTTCGCCATTTCAGAACCACCTTCTAACTTTATCGCCTTTTTCATAATTTGAGTTAAATTGAGCAATTAACTTGAGGAAATTCGACAAAGAAACTTAACAAACCTCCATATTTCCTTCTTTTATAAATCTAATTGCATTTCTTAACGCATCTTTAGGACTAGTTTCGTAACTTCCAAATGGCATATCACCAACTAGGAATGGAGTTTTGGCACCTCTTGATACTGCCCTACAATGATGAAGCATTTCCTAAACAAAAAAGATCGGATCAAATAAAGTCAATAGAAGAAATTGATAATCGAATATATGAAAAACAGCGGGAAAACAACCTCTATGGTAGTTTGATTGACACTTTTACGTCCCAAGGCGACCATTCCTAAGGAATCACCGACCAAACAAATTTCAATTCCCGTTTTTTCAATAAATAAACCGCTTGGATAATCATGAGCCGTTAATACAGTTATAGGTTCATTATTTTTATAAAGACTTTGAAGAGTTGTTATCGTAACTTTTTTTGATGCTATTTTATATTTAATTTTATAAGATCATATTTAAATAGGAAAGAAGTGAAATTACAATATTTTAATTTTGTCAATTAACATAATTGATTGTAAACAATCATTAAAATTTATGAATTTTTTTAACTGCTTGAACTTTGCGTTTTCATAGGTATTGTGCCATAGAATCGCATCAATCTTAAAGATGTACACACAAAGTTATTAACACATCGAATATTAACATTTCTTGTACAGTTTGAAATAATTTGGCAAGATACATTTATCATCGCGAGCTCGTTTTTTTTTTTTTTTTTTTTTGAACTGGTTATATCAAGAATTTAACGTTAATTAATGTACATAAATGATTAATAAGCACAAATTCATAATTCATAACGATAAGATGAGATTTATTACTAGTAAAGGAAGAGATTGACATGATGCACTATTTTTAGAGGATGTAATTATCCCATGCCATTATTTCAAATATGTATAAAGCTCTATATGAATGAATGAATGATAAACCCAAAATGTATGATTGTTTATACCGTATGTGAGCCAATATAACGACATTAATACAGTAATACGGTAGTATCATGTTACTGTATAGTTTAATTATTAAAACCAATTAATCTTATAATACACAGTTCAAAAAATTAGCTATATTTAAAATAACGCCCATGGGCATACACGAAATAGCGCGCAGTTGTCTGCTATTTCGAGAATTTACGGTATGCTTGTGAGAATGTCATTGTTTCAACAATGAAAAAATCGGTAAAATTGCATAAGTTCCATTCGTATGGGCGGATTTTTTCGATTTGTGTAGATCGGACCCCAAAAATTAGATTAATTCTGGTCAATTTTGTAGATCGGACCCCAAAAATTAGATTAATTCTGGTCAATTTTGTAGATCATTTGGCCTTTGGAGATGAGTTTTCCAAAGGCCAAATGATCTACAAAACTGACCAGAATTAACCTAATTTTTGGGGTCCGATCTACACAAATCGAAAAAATCGCCCATATGTATTGCGGTTTTCGAAATGGTAGAAATGAGTAAAAAAAAATTTCTCTAGTATACCTGTATACTGCGTATACTCATGTATCGGATTACCTTAGCACGTTGATTTAAGATCGTACTTATTGTTAAAACAATAAGTAAATCAAGCATCGATCTTCAATCGGTAATCTGGTCGCAGTATAAGGTATATTCGAAAAAAAATGCTTCAACCATTTCGAAAACTGCGATAAAGCTTGGAGACAATTCCTAGCAAATTTAAACTGGAGAAGGTTTTTTAGGCACCATTAACTAAAAATTGAAATAATTATCTTTCATATTGATAGTTCCAATTTCTCGATTTAACATTGACTGGAAACTTACTAAAGAAATTACGCATAATAGAGGTGGCACGTATGTCTTTCTTTAGAGCATAAGAATCTTTACATTCTGACAAAATGAACATGTATTAAGGGTTTATTGGGTTTAATTGCATATCTTTGAAATTTAAAAGCACACTTATCTAATATCTTTATGAATTTAAGTTTCAGTCAGCATCACAAATTTTCTCATATAAGAAGCCAAAGACAAATTTAAAGTGCAATTAATATCAAAAGAAAAATTATGCAATATAAATTAATTTTTAGTTTCATAGAATTAAATTTATCTATCAAACTTGTGGTTAATTATCATGAAGTAAAAAATGTATGCTACTAAACATTTAAAAATTATAAATGTTCTGTATATTTATATCTATATTTAATAAACACATAAGCCTTATAATGAAAATATATATTTAATTCAGTAATTTGATTTTCTGAATTCACATTTATTTTCCTGATATTCATTTTATCTCTAACACTTTTAAATAAGCTACTCAAGTTCACGAATATTTGCTATTTCTGTACAATATTTAATTTAATTTCATTTTATTCGCTTAATTTAGGTGAGTATAAAAATTGGTTGCATTTAAATTTAAGAGTCACATAAATAATTGATGGTATAATTGATTATTATAAAATATTTTATAATGGAATCCACACATTTTAATCCAATCGTTAAAATTCTATTTGCCCAAGGATTTACGAACTCAGGATCTCACAATTAGTGATCTTAAACATGTTATGGACGGGTAGAAATAAAGACTGAAATTTACTGGTTTATAAGCTATTATTGAATGGATCATTTGATTGATTAGATAATATTAAAAAAAAGAAAGAAGATCCTTTTTGTAATTTCTACAACCTTGTTGGACAGTATCGTTTAAAAGAAATATTTTATGTAAGATCACATGAGCTATTAGCTATTTAGTGTCGTTGCTCTCAAGACCTTAGGGAAGTTTTGAAAAAAGTAGTTCGTTAAGTGCATGTTGAACTAATTTATTTTTACATTTTACATGTAATATCTAAATGTACCGTAAACTGCCGGATAAAAGACCCGGATCTCTTACATTCCACAAAAAAAATTAATTAGTAAAAAAAAGAAAATAATTAGTAAAAAATGAGGGTGGGTCTGATATATGGGGGGATCTTGTA